TGGTTGACTTTTGCATGTGTTTTAAAAGGATTTTCAAAATAATAATGTTCGATCAGAAATAATTAAATATTATTATTTTCACTCTTAAAAATTATTTTGGATATTATGATGGAATTCTAATATTTCTTTATTTCGATTGGAGTAAGAATCAATTGCTTCAAGGTATGATAGATTGATTCTTCTCGATAGGAAATAATTAAATGTTATTATCTTTCATCCAAAATTTCGAATAATATTATTTTAGGGGATCTTAAATTAAAATTAGACTCGAACTTATACATTTTATTACAAAGAAAATTAATTAATCGACTAGGTACCGATTTAGGGCTTGTGGAGGTACTAATAATTCCCCACACGTAACTGACTCCCAAACTCAAATATTGGTAATGCAAACCCCAAGTTTGCCATTTTAATTAAAATTAATATTTTATTAAAAATGGAAAATATATTTTTGGGTGCCCAATCACATCCTAATCAAGGATTGGTGGCGACTCTGTGAACCATGTTTTATCACAAACTTATCAGTGAAAAACCATTTTCGAAGCGGGACTAAACCTTTTTCCCCTCCATGTAAAAGACTGTTTTGACAGCTGGGGTTTATGTACACTTTCCTCTGCGTCGAGCATTGTGTTACTTGGATCAACATCCTATGACTTGGGTGAAGCATTTTCTATGTGGTAGTTGGAACTGCTATGGCATCATCAAATGTTGGCAAGAAAGCGTCCGAAAATGTTGGAAGGTTATGAGCCAAGTGTGGGAACATCTCCTTGTAAATGGATGTCACGATCGCATCCCTTTCTTGTTATAAGGAAAGAAGGTCTTGAGGTCACCGGTCAGGGCCTTCAATTGGTCTCTTTCCTGCTTCGTTGATTTCTCGAGAGTATTCAGTTTTGCCGTGACATCTTAGTTTACACCAGTCTCTGAAACTTCCTCGTCCTTATCCTCATTGAATCCTAACAATATAGGGAGCCTTGCTTTAGTGTTACCTTTCAACTCGGGCAGGATTTTAACAAATTTATCCTTACGAACCTTTTTCTTGCAGTAAAGTGCCATGATGAGGTTGGGAAAGATTAAGGCACTAGTCAACCGTTTCAAGCACATATGTGCATGGTCAACAATAATCTTGCCCATGTCTATCGAATGCCTGACCAATGTCGAGTGCAAAAGCATCATATGAGGTATGAGACAGTAGTGTTGTGTGCAGTTGGCATTAGCTTGTGCTTAATGAAGTGGTTCCATAGTTTGGCCATTGGTTGAAGCCTTTCTCGATCCATCGAATGCCTACTTGCTTTTTTTCCATTCCACTCATAGTTTGCAAGGCATAAATCTTCCTTAGCACCGTGATATGTCTCATTATCCACCTCATTCTTAAATTCAGCATGATTATCAACGATGTCCTTCAGTTTAAAGTATCGGTTAATCATAGAAGGTGTAAAACAAACAGATATACCTTGTACAAAAATTGAGCGTTGGTTGGGGTCGAAAATATTTACATAAAATTGTTTGACAAGATAAATATTGATGTTGTTCAGGTACCTTGCAAACTTCTCCTATTTATGCATCTTGACAATTTCCATCACGTTAGGTCCAAGGTCGCCATTTTTGTCATCGGCAAAAAAAAGCCTTGTTCAAAGAAAACTCTTCAGTTTTTTATGCTTTGGATCAACTCTTTTGTCGTGTCATCTTAAAATTGTTGGAGAAACAGAGGAGTGGTATTTGTGGGGTAAGAACGCAGCATGGCTATTAGAAGATATGAAGAAAAAATAGAAAGCTTAGAGCTTTAATGGCTATGGAGTTTTGGTGTGAAGGGGAAAGAAAAAATTATGAAACCAGTAAAGACAAAGGAGGAAAAAGTGTAAAAATAAATTAAAAATGGAATTGAGGGAAACGTGGGGAAGGGGTTTGGAAGATGATAAAAAGGTGAAAGTAATTATGTTAAAATAAAATAAAAAATTTGGAAAAAGTTGAAATTTGAAAAATTAATTTTTCTTCCCTTTTCTTTTTGTCTTTTTGCCGCCTATTTCTCAAGGTTAGGTCTTGTCCCTCTTTTTTCCCTTTAGCCCCAACTCTTCATGCATGAAATTTTGTGTGCCCTACAAAAACGTGAAAAATAATTAAAATAACTGAAAAATAACTGAATGAATAATAAAAATTAAAATTGCACGTGTTATTTATGCACAGTAGTAAATCCAAAATACCATGGCATATTCAAAAAGCTTAGGATGACAAACTCAGACGTCTTGTAGATAGAGTGTCGACTTATCACATAAGGGATGAGCTCTATTGTAAGCCTTCAATCGCTGGTCGTTGACTTAGAAAATGCTCTCATCTTTCATATTATTGATGTCGATAGCTCCATGAGGGTAGACTTGGTGCACTTCAAAGGGTTCATACCATCTTGACTTGAGTTTACCTGAAAAGAGCCTGAGCCTTGAGTTGTAGAGGAGCACTTGTTGACCAATATGAAAATGACGCAGCAAAAGCATTTGATCATGCCATTTCTTAGTCTTCTCCTTGTAAAGCTTGGCATTTTCATATACTTGTGCCTTAAACTCTTCCATTTCTTTGACCTCAAATAATCTTTGCTCACTAGCTAATTGTGCATCAAAATTGAGCTTTTTGATATCCCAATAAGCTTTATGCTCTAGCTCGACAGGAAGATGGCAGGCTTTTCCATACATAATTTGAATGGGGGCATTCCTAGTGGAGTTTTAAATGTCGTTCGGTAAGCCCAAAGCACTTCATCGAGCTTTAAGGACTAGTTATTTCTTTTGGGGTTTACCACATTGTCGAGAATTTGTTTGATCTCACGGTTGGAGACTTCAACTTGGCCATTTATATGGGGGTGATGTGCCGTGGCAATTTTGTGTCGTACCCCATACCTCTTCAGTGCCTTGGCAATTAGCTTGTTTTCAAAATGGGTGCCTTCGTCACTAATTGTGTCTCTAGGTGCTCCAAACCTAGTGAAGATATATTTTGGACAAGAACTTGAGCACGATCTTAGAGTCATTATTCGACATTGCAATTGCCTGGACCAACTTAGACATGTAATCCACTACTAGTAAGATGTATAAATCTTCAAATGATGATGGGAAGGGTCCTATAAAGTCAATGCCCCACACATCAAAGAGCTCAATCTTTAAAATATTTTGAAACGATACTTCATGTCATTTGGTGATGTTCCCAGTACATTGGCATCGATTGTAGGCCTTACAAAAAATCATGAGCATCTTTGAAGAGTGTAGGCCAATAAAAGCCCGATTGAAGGAACTTTGCAGTAGTCCTTGTACGTCCAAAGTGACCTCCATATGGGGCCACGTGGCAATGGTGCAGAATGTCCTTTTGTTCCTCCTCGGGGATACATCTGTGGATAATTTGGTCTGCACATTACTTGAACAAATATGGCTCATCCCATAAATAAAACTTTGCATCATGCTTAAACTTCCTCATGCCTTTGTTGTTCAAATAATAAGGTAAAATTCTACTAACAAGAAAATTAACTATGTTAGTATACCATGGAAATACCGCGAGATATAAGATTGTCTCTTCAGGGATTTCCTCTTGAATGTCTAAAATGCCAGGGCATTCTAAATTATTTTCTAGCCTAAAAAGGTTATCTGCAACTTGATTCTTGGTACATTTCCTAACTAAAACCTCCAAGTCAAATTCTTGCATTAGTAGTATCTACCTAATGAGTTTAGGCTTGGCATCCTTCGTACTCACTAAATATTTTATAGTTGAGTGATCTCTGTGAACAATTACTTTGGGGTATATTAAGTATAGCCTAAACTTTTCAAATGCAAATACCACGATATGTAGTTCTTTTTCAGTGGTTGTGTAATTCAATTGTGTTTCATTTAAGGTATGACTAACATAATAAATAGTATGGAAATTTTACATAGGCATTGCCCAAGCACAGCTCCCACAGCACAATCGCTAGCATCACACATCAAATCAAATGGTGAAGTCCAATCAAGGGAAACAACAATTGGTACTGAGATAAGTCTTTGTTTCAACTCTGTGAATGTGTCATGGAAAAATTTATCAAACATAAAGGGTTGGTTTTGTTGAAGCAAGGTATACAAGGGTTTGGAGATCTTGGAGAAATCCTTCATGAATCTCCTATAAAAACCAACATGTCCAAGAAAACTCCTAGTGCCCTTTACATAGGTCGATGGAGGCAATTTCTCAATTACGTCAATTTTGGCTTTATCCACCTCAATGCCCTTGTGCGAGATCTTATGGCCCAGCACAATGCCTTCAGTCACAATGAAGTGACATTTCTCCCAATTAAGTACAAGGTCAGCCTCCTCACATCTCTTGAGCACTCGTGCTAGATTGCCAAGGCATTTCTCATAGTAATCTCCAGAAACGAAGAAGTCAACCATAAATATTTCTAGAAATTACTCAACCATGTCGGAGAAGATAGCTTGCATGCAACGTTCAAAAGTTGTAGGGACATTGTAGAGTCTAAAATGCATCCTCCTAAAGGCAGAAATACCATAGGGGCATGTCAAGGTAGTCTTCTCTTAGTCCTCTAGTTCTTTGGAAATTTGGCTTTACCCATAATATCCATCCAGAAAGCAATAGTATGTGTTACCTACCAATTGATATAGTATTTGAACAATGCAAGGTAGAGGAAAACGGCCATTCTTGGTAGCTTTGTTTAGGTTTCGATAATCTATGTATATCCTCTGTCATATGACACTATGAGTAGCTAGGAGCTAATTGTCCTCATTACTCACCACATATGTGCCTCATTTCTTGGGGAAGTATTGCACTGGGCTTACCCATGAACTATTGGATATAGGTTATATTACCCCAACATCAATCCACTTAATGATCTATTTCATCATAACCTTCTTCATAACAAGGTTGAGCCTTCTTTGTGGCTCAACGAAAATGTTATTGTATTCTTTTAGTTGAATCTTGTGCATGAAAATGGTGGGACCTATCCCCTTCAAGTCAGCCATAGTCCAGCCTAAAGCTTTCTTATGCTGCTACAAAACACTTAGCAAACTATGTTCCTGGTCAAAAGTAAGGTTAGAGGAGATAATCACAGGTAAAATTTCATCACCACCTAAGTAAGCATATTTAAGATGCTTTGGCAAAGTCTTTAGCTCTACGATAGGTGCATGCTGGAATGGGGGCTTAGGAGGAACAAATTTATCAAAGCCAAAAGGTTCAAAGTGCATACCTGGTCTTACTGTGAGTAAGCTAGACCGATCCACTTTTAATGGAAATTCATCGGGCTTCTCGATGCTTTGTTCTTCAATGAGCCTCTCATAATCTGGCAACTATATGAACTTGTTATGGAAAAATTGATCGGCTTCCCCTTCAATCAATGAACCCACTTCTGTCATTCTTTTGAGTCATCAACAAATTTGAGAGTACGAAAGACATTTATAATCACACATTGGTCAGCCACTCTTATGGTGAGTTTACCTTTTTCACAATCAATGAGGATGCGACTGGTGGCTAGGAAAGGCCTCCCCAAAATTATGGGTGCATTAGTATCAACCTCGCAATCAAGTATAAGGAAGTCCACTTGGAACACAAATTTTTCCACCTGCACAATGAAATCTTCGACTCTCTCTTCAGGACGAACAAGGGAACGGTCGACTAGTTGCAAAATAACAGAGGTAGGTCTTGCATTTCCCATCCCAAGCTTAAAAAATATTGACTGGGGCTTTAAGTTCACACTTGAGACAATGTCACAAAGTGTCTTCCCAACATAGTTGTCTTCCCAACATGGAATAATAAAGTTGCCCAAATCTTTTTGCTTTGGTGTCAGCTTACTCAATACTAAGCAAAATTCTTTTGTTGTGCCAACTGTTTCATACTTCTCAACTTTCCTCTTCTTGGTGATAATTTCCTTGAGAAATTAAGCATAAGTGGGTATTTGTTTTATGGCTTCAAGGAAAGGGACGTTAATATAGAGCTAGTCAAGAATGTCAACAAACTTTTTGAATTGGATATCATCATTGTGTTTCTTCAATCTTTGCGGGAAGGGTAGTGGATATCTAACTTCTTTTACTAATGGGGTGAGAACTACTTTTTTCGTGGCATTTTTGTTTACTCCCTTTGTAGGTTCACTGGATGAACCCTTATTTTTTTTCTTTCTCTATAATAGTTTCATCATGTTGTCTCTCAGAGTTAGCTTGCATGGTCATGGGCATAGAATCATACGACTTCTTTCCCCTAAACTTATATTGTAAATTGATTTAAGTGTCACTTCTTAGAGTGAGTGCACTACATTTTTTTTCCATGAGCTTTAGTGACCTCAGTGTCACTAAGCAGACATCCTGGTTGGCGTTCTTGTAATGCCGTGGTAATTTGACCAAACTAACCCTCCAAAGCTCTTAGAGACGAGCTATGGCTTTGCAGTAATGCTCCTTGAATTTAAAATAGAACATCTTGATTTTTAATAGTAGTGGCATTTTCTTGTGACATGGTCTTAGTAGCTGCTATAAAATCTTACGTAGTTGCCTCCAAAGAACTTGTATGTGATGAAGATGGTGCCCCTTTGTTAGAATTATGTCATGGAATATCTGTTTGATAGGTTTGAGGTTTATTGATATTCTACTACTAAGCTAAATATATAGTATTGGGGGTTCTTTGATTTTTACATATAAAATTTGGGTGTTGACGCCATCATGGATTGTAGGTGCTAGAATATGGGTTGTTGTTGCTTCGGTTGAAATTTCCCACATAGTTGATAAACTCTTGGTTGGTTGGGCACTCATTCTCATGGTGATTTCCATGGCATAATAAAAATGATGAATTATATGTCTTCACTTCTTTCACCTTGTTGGAATGTTGTAAGTTCTTTAATATATTTTTCATAGTTGAAAGTTAGGCGGACACTGAGTCCTTAGTATCAAACTCATATGTCCCAGGTGCCTTCCTTCCAGTTCCAAGCTTTGAAGAGGGGAATCGATAACCATTGCTTGTAATCCTATCCAAAATTTCAGAAGCCTCTTCAAGTGATTTATCTAGCAAAAGTCCCATTTTTTGAGGCATCTAGTGTCATCCTCGTGGGTGCATTGACTTCATTATAAAACATCACGAGTTAAGTCCAATCTTGAAAACCATGATTTGTACACTTGCAAAGCAATCCCTTTTATCAGTCCCGACACTCATACATAGACCGTTATCAACTTGACAGAAAGATGCTATGTCATTTCTAAGTTGAGAGTTCATGTTCAACCTTTTTCATAAATCAGACCAAGACTCCATCAAGCTAGATAGAACTCCACTCAACCAAGCATTCTCTTGGTCACGCAAAGAATATGGAAACAACTTAAGCTTCAATACATCTTCATACACTCTTTGTTCCCTGAAATAATCACACACCTCCAAGAAGTTATGAAATGTGTTGCCTGTCATCCTTATGAGGCATACACCCAAACTGTCGTATATAATTCAACATATTGAACATAACTAGTTTGAGCTTGAAGTGGGCTACTTGAATCTTGGGTGCCACAATACCAGGATTTAGATTGTCCAAAACAGGGTTTAAGTATTTACGAATAGCACAAGGCCTTGCAGTATTCCCAAAATTTGGAATTGGCTCGGCATTTTGATATGTCTGATCCTTCACTTGGCCAACACTTTGGTTATGTTGTCTATACATATTTCAATGAGTACGTTTAGCATGTCTTCTTTATCTAAAAAGTCGTTCAATCTCTGGTTCAATTGGTATTAATGATTCCTTTGGATGTCCTTGGGTTATGAACCAATTATGCTTGAAAAAGGTAAAGAAAAATATCAAGTAAACTATGCAAAAGAAATGAAGAAACAAAATAAAAATGCTATACCAAAACTATTAAACTTTCAGTTGCCAATCCTCAGCAAAAACGCCAAAAACTTGTTCGTAATTTGTGTGTGCTATAAATTACGCAAACAAATTGTGCAATTATACATAATTGAACAAGTAATACAAATGACGAGTGAGTATACATGGATTGGAGGAAATTACGAATTAAGTCAAAGCAACAAACTAATTTATCTAAGTATAGCTGATGGTATGCACAAATATTTATGCAGAAGCAAAATGAAATGTTTGTAGGTGGAGTTGAAATAGTAGAGTGAGTGGGTAGCAACTAAGAATGTTGTGGCAAAAGTAGTTGTTTAAAGTGCAATCAAATGAAAATACTAAGGCAAAATAGATTGATAACTTGGGAATTAAGTAAGATGACTTGATAATCCTCACACAACAAGTTGTTATGGGAATGAATGATGGGGTCACTTAGAAGACTTAAGTCTTATCTGTTAAGATGGTCTAAGCTTCTATGTCTTACTTTCTCGATAGAGTTTAATACGAGTGTCCCTACGCTATCTCTAGTCATAGGATCTGACAGATGAGAATGCCACGGCAAATCCTCTCAGCCTAAGCAGAAACATATAACCTAACTATTTAGCACTATTTCTTTTAGTCGTTGAAATCCTAACCTCATCTCTGATGGTGGATTAGACTTTAGTTATTAGCTCAAACCTGTCAAGAAAAAGACGAGTCATATTACCCCATATATTAACAAAATTAAGAGGTAAATAAAATAACTAATATTTGGCTGAGTCGACTAAAGCAAAAGGAAAAAATACAAAGTTTAATTTGACAATCAGATACTCCCTGTGGTATCATGCTAGAACAAACTAGATGAAACTTGGTAAGATGATTGTGAGGACTTTCATTAGGCAGTCTATGGTAAGTAGGTAGAAAATGAATTATACCCGTTTTCAGTTCAAACGGTGTTTCTCCATGAGAGAATGCGATGCATAACGGTTGTTGTTCGGCAGGCGCCGCATCTAATTCCCGGATTATTTGTTGATCCATTGGAATTGGTTTCTCAAAGTCTTATTCAACGTCAGAGAAGGTTTCGGCGTTAAAGGGTGTCTCCGGATTAGGTTCTGGATTGGATTCAGATTGATGTGATTGTTGCCTTTATTGTATCATATGTGAACGTATTCTTCGAGCTAGTGCTTCGATCTCAGGTACTCAATCAGTTAGTTCGTCTAGATTTTTCCTGGTCATAAATCAAATCAAATTTTAATCATTAATTTTTTTGTGATCCCCTGCAATAGTGCCAATTTGACAAGCATCGTAATTGTCAAATAAATAATCCTTTTTTCTCGGATAATTATGCTAAGAAAGTAATATAGAGAAGAAGGGTGTCGATCCACATGGATTCAAAAATTTCCAATTCTAATTCGATTTGATCTTGAACTAAGAAACCTGTAAAAGAAGTAAATAAAAAACAAAGGGGGATTTTAAAGTAAACAAGTAAAATAAAATTAAAGTAAAACTAAGATGCAAACAATAAGAAAAATTGAGAAAAGTAAATTGTAAAGGAATAATAAAGATGAGAAATAACCTCTAGCTTCACTTCGTCTCAATCCGTCTCGATCACTAAAATAGATTTTAATTCAGATACTTTCCTGTTACAATTTACAAGGCCCAACCCTTGTAACTTGCTCTTCTCTCTTGTGAACTGATTTCCAAAGCCAATCCTTGAAATTAGCTCTTGTTTGGATTAATATCGACTATAGATATTAATACCAATGTTGGTTTTGAATTAGAAAAGCTCTTATTTGGGATTATAGTGTCTCGATGAGAATCGAACCCGATAAGATTGTTCTTAGGGAATTGAATTTGCTACAAGTCGATTCTCCTCCCCAATTGTAGATCACAACGTCAAACAAACCAATGTGCTCTATACACTCCTTGGATTGAAATATATTGAGATGTTGAAAAAGGCTTATTGCCTCTCCTTGTTTGCAGAAAAATCAAGAAAGAAATCTGAAGATGTTATGTACCTTTTCGATTCTCACGAGACTAGATTAAGTTGTCGCTAATTTATCAGCTAACGAAAAGTTTAGCCATGCTAGAAATCATACCCGGTGTGTAGAAAGAGAGTAGAATGAGAAGAAAAATAATTTTATTGAAATAAACTAAAACAAAGAAAAAGCCAGAACCAGTTCTATACTGAATTCTAAACTTGTACCTTTCTCAAGCTTCACCCATAGGGGTATTTATAGTCTTGAGTTAACCTAACGAAAATAAAATACTAACTCTTAAAATATTCAAACTCTTAATTATAACAAACTAAAAATCCTAAATAAAAATTCTATGCAAACTAAATTCCTAATAAAATAATAAAATCTCAAATGATTGAATTCAATTACAACTTTTAAATTCCTAAAGAATTATGGTTCGCCTTGCTTTCCTCCTTTGATCTTGCTACTTGGAATATTTAATTAGAGTTTGTGCTTGGATCGACCTTTGAATTTGAGTTGACGCCAACTTTTCCCAAATAAATAGGAAAATCTGTTTAATTTGCCTTTTAATTGTTATAGTCCTGCACAAATTCGAATCAAAAAAGCTCAAATTAGCACTATAAAAGAAGATAACACAGTTTAATTAATAACAAAATATTAACCAAATAAAACACTCATCAAAGTTCGTGGCTGCTGGCAAACCATGTCTAGAGAAGGCAGGGTACGGGGGTGTTCTGTACAATGAAGACGGTATTTTGAGGGTCATTTTTTTCGAGGCAGAGGTTGTCTGCAATACCCATTTTGCTCTGTTAACAGCAGTTAAATTAGCATTAGAAATGTTTATTGAAGCAGGTTGGATGGGGTCATTTCTCTTGACGATTGGATTGGCATCAAGCCTAGCGTTGAGGTGGATTTTGAATTTGTCAGCAAGACTTTGGAATAGGTGGTTAGATTTGGCTGAAATTGATAAGTTAAGCACTGCTGCTAGGGGCTTTCATTTCAATAATGTTGGTTGGTAGAATACTAAGTTGGCTGGTTACCTCACAGGGGAAGGTATGTCTCGTGAAGTCTTATTTAAAGCGTGATGGTGACTCTGCTATCTTCGTTATTCAGTTAATTGATTTTTGGACAATTGTTGTTGGATATAGTGGATGTCTTAGTGCTTCCTTGCCCTTAAACTGATCCTGGATTGTTGTGTTAGTCGAAAAGGTGAAGAATAGGAGTAACCTGGAGTTGAAAGAATGTCTGTAGTGTTTGTTTATTTTATTGTGAAGGTGTGATGATTAGGATCTGCATAAATATTGTGGAAGGTGCATCTTGGATCTCTTAAGTATTTAGAGGAGTCGGGTCCTTTCTTTTTTGGAATTGAGCGATGCAACTTATGTGTTTTGGAAGGCATGATTTGGAAGTTTTGGTTCGGTGTTTTCTGTTAATGGTACTGGTTATGCATGGTGGGTTTGGCTCTAATTGATTAACAAGAGTGCCTCCTTGTATTGTAAATTTAGGTGACAAGTTTTTGTACAGGGTCTGTCTAGTCTATGTTTAGTGTTGAACTGAGTTGGGACTCTTTTGTTGTGTTTGGGTGTGACCTCGTGGGGCTTTCGTGTTGTAATTGCGGTACTCCTACACTAGTGTTTGTCGGGGTTTTGTACTTTACCTAGTTAAGATTAATGAGGCTCTTAATTTATGTTCAATTTTAATAAAAAAAATTTATTACTGAGTAAAAAAAAAAGTTAAGGGTAGTTAATAATTAAGAAAATTTCTAAATAAATATTACTTTATAATCATTTCATACTATTAAAAAAAATTTACTTTTTATAATGTAGTATTTAACTTATTAATCAAACAATTTATCTAAAGATTCATATGAGGATAAATCTCTTAACATTATTTATTCAATTAATGACATCAATATTCCTACGTAATACAAGCTTTAGGAAGGTCGAAATAGAATTGGATTATGTTGATGTGCATGATTCTTTAGTCCAAAAATCATTAGCATTAGAGGAGAATGGTATTGGAGATGCAGTCAGATATATATGTACCAGTCATGAAAGACCCAGAGGAGAGGGAAAGAAAAACTTTTAGGAGAAAGAATGGAAGTGTTCTTAGTGAAAGAACTATCACCCAAGAGAAAATAAGGAAATAAATATAAGACGCTTTATATCTGAAAGAGCTTAATGCACCATATATGCAACTACGAATCGCTTTCAATCACAGGAGCTTAATATTGG